TTCAGGGGCAGTACGGCGATTGATAGGGGCACCGACGGCAATTGCCGTCGGTGCCGTCGGTTAATTCGAGCCCTGCTCCTAAGTGCGCATGCGCGCAGGCGCCTCTTGTTTTGCAAGGGCGCATGCACAGTAGTCATCTGCGCATTTCGCCCATCGAAACGGTTGCAATAAACAAACATGGCGGACAACCCGGTCATTGATGGAAACATTTGATTGAAACAATTTGCAATATGTAGTAAGTTATAGCAGGAGCGTATAATGACATATATTTGTCATTATACGCTCCTGGTTATAGTAAGACTGTGTTATGTGTGTCAGCTAGGTTACAAGGCAAAACAAAAAGAAAACAAAAGAGCATGGCTACTATTTCCTACGGCCCTGCAAAACAAGATTCAAACAAAAAGAAAACAAGAGAAAAACAAAAGAGCATGCCTACGGCTCGGCGCATGCGCACTTTGGAGCGTCCAGTTTCGGGCGAGCATCCAAATTCTACGGGACAACGCGAACCGTTGAAAGTGAGCTTGCGTTTGTTTGGGTTAGGGTTCGATCCAGTGGATCGAGATCCGTGGATCTGACCAAACAAACACGCCCTTAGTCTCGCAACCTGGTCGGGATAATTTACTGTCCTGACAGTGTTGTTATGTTCCACTTTAGTACTACAAGTATTACTAAGTACTAATAATATTACTAACAAAACTTCACTGGACACCCTAAAACCCTATTAGGGGGTACTAGGAAAATAACTTTGTATGGGCGCCCATTCACAGGTCGAAGATGCTTACAGATTTCAACTAGCTGGGTACAGAGACGAGAGGGAGTATGCGGCATGTAAAGGACCCGACTCCGTAGGTATCCATCACTGTAGCACCACGGATTAGTTTAGCACGTCATTTGGAGAAAATGAGGGCCGGGGTCCCAAACTACTACTAGGATTGTGCAGAGGTTTCAGCTTGAGCAATTCCTAGTCATATTCACTGCTGCTGCACACTTGCACACTGTGTAACCTCTTAGTCTTACCTAAGTTACATTCTACATTCAACACCCTACATCGCGTACGCAGGTTCAGAGATGGCCTACTACGTAACCTCAACTTCTACCTTGTACGCCATGTATGCAGGTTGAGAGGTGGCCGGAAAATGGCTTTGTGAAGAAGCTGCAGCGCAAGGACGGAAACTTCTACTACTACAATCAACGGCGGGAGTGCGCAGACAAGGACGTAGGTGGGACGAAGATCTACTCGTACGCTGAGCAAGAAGGAAAGTAGTGCGGTTGAAATTGGGCCGCAACTGTCCCACTCATGCATAGTGCAAATCACACGCCGCGCGCGACTAGGAAGAACGCCAACTGCATTTAAAATCTCTGATTTTAGGCGTGGGGCCTCTGTAGGATAAAGATCAAATGGAAAAGAAGTTGACCCCAAGTATATGCGATAGATTTCTCCATGCGATCTAAAAGAATATCATTCGCAAAATGCAAATATTAGCACTCGTGTGTATGAAATTCATTTTTAGATTCATAGATATCTTGGCGAGTTGGTGTATTAAAAATACACTAGGAAATTTATATAAACGTGCATTCGTTATAATATAAATTTTATTATATATATATATAATGTATGTTATACATAGATATATGTATACATTCACGATAGGTATCTGTAATAACATTAACAGCATAATATTAGCACTCGTGTGTATGAAATTCATTTTTAGATTCATAGATATCTTGGCGAGTTGGTGTATTAAAAATACACTAGGAAATTTATATAAAC